CACAAAAATGGAGGCAAGTAATATTGTTACTGATGTAGTAGGAAAGGGAATATATCATGCCAGATGTGTTCGTTCTTGGGCACATGATTATGTAACAACTCACCAAATTCCTTATTCCTGTCGAAGACATCATGCTAAAATATGGAGTTTCCTCTGGGATAAGAATATACTCCTTCAAGTAAAATCATATGTTCGGAAGCATAAGTGGAATATTACTCCATATATACTAATGGTACATATGAACGAAGTCATTTTACCAGGGCTTGGATTTGTACCATCTCCGACTATACATATCAATACAGCAAGAAACTATTTAAAAGAATTAGGGTATATATACGCTAAGGTAAAAAAATGAATGTATATAGACGGACATGAGAGGAAAGATGTAATATCCTATAGAAAAATATTTTTAAAACGAATGAGTAAACTTGAAGATAGGATGCCTATTTTTTCAGGAGATAATTTGGAAAAGATAACTTGGCCAGACAATAACGTGCAACCACTTATCTTTGTCACAAATGATGAGTGCATTTTTTCAGCTTATGATGGAAGTCGAAGTCTTTGGATTCCTAATGGAGAATAGCCTTTAAGAAAAAAAGGTAATAGTTGTTCGATTCTTATTAGTGATTTCCTCATCAAAATTTGTGGCCGCCTTGCTCTTTCCGACGAAATGCAGTCACCAGATGGTTTTCCCAAAGAAGCCTGTGTCATTATGCATCTGGGAAAAAACAGTGATGGATGGTGAAAGGCTGAAGACTTAGTAAAACAGGTAGTTGAACGTGATATACCCATATTTGAAGCACGTTTTCCAGGATGCCAAGCCTTGTTTGCTTTTGATAATGCATCAAGTCATGCTGCTTTTTCACCAGATGCACTTGTTGCAAAATGTATGAACCTCAGTCCTGGTGGAAAACAGCCAAAGATGCATAGCACATATTTTGGTAATGAGATTCAATAGAACATGATTTTTCCATTAGATTATTATATTCCTAAGTTACGTGGACAGCCAAAAGGACTAAAACAAGTTTTAATAGAAAGGGGATTGTGGCCAAACGAAGGGTTAAAATTAGAAGGAGCACGAGAAGTAATGAGTTAGCAACCAGACTTTTTAGCACAAAAAGGACAATTAGAAGAGGCTATTATTGCAGTTGGACATCAAGTTATATTTTATTCCAAGTTTCATTGTGAGCTTAACTACATTAAGAACTTTTGGGGTGCAGCAAAAAAATTTAGTCAGCTGAATTGTGATTACTCGTGGACAGGATTACAAAAAACGGTTCCATTGGCCCTTGCTTCTGTCTCACTTACAACTATCCGCCGGTATGCAAGAAAAGCGTTTCGTTATATGAATGTATATCGAAAAGGCTTAACAGAACAGGCAGCAGAATTTGCAGTTAAAAAGTATCGTTTGCATCGTCAGATTCCTGATTCAGTTGATATCTAACAAATTAGGTTCTTTTGCATAGATTTATTTACACCAGCTAAAGGCAATAGAAAAGGGAAAAATTAGTGAATGCTTAATAAAATAATGTATTTTTTGAAACAATAAAGGCTTATGTTATGGTTTTGAAAAGAACATTTGCTATATGCAACGTTTGAATTGTTCGCCTTTATTAATGTAGAAACGATTTTATTTTATTCTCCGTTTATTACACAACATGATCAAATATGGTCAGTATTACGAAGTATAGTAAATCAGCCAATAAATGTCGAAAATTATGATCACGTGTATCACGTGTAGAGCGGACAAAATATCTGATTTATTAGTAAAATGCCTCGACTTTAAATTGCTACTACTTCACTAAAAATCATTTTATAAAAAATCTAACACTATAGTTTTGTTAAGCTTAAGCTACTCTATCATTCTATAGTTACATTTTGTATTTATCATTTTTTTTGAGTGAGGATTAGCAATTTGAATTTTGTTAAATTTATTTGTTAGGACTAAGTTGTATGCACTGTACTAATATAAAAATAAAAATCTAATTCTATATGTTTAATATTATGTAAAACATTTTATATTATAATTCATAAAATTCATAAGATTCATATAATAATATAATAAGAATTATATTATTAAATGGAATAACTCTTAAACTAATGATCAACATTTTGATGGAAATAGTATCATTAGAACCATCTTGATGAGAGCTTTCCAACGAATATAAGCTCGACCTGATTGGACCAATAATTAGTGAGATATTTTAAAATGATTGTTAAGTATAATTCTATAGATCATTATTAAACAGAGTCATAATTCCTTAATACAAATTAGTGATTGACCGGCTGGAATTATGGAAATAATGAAAACGATGAAAACTATCGTAATGACGAAACCGATGATGAAAAACTCTTTCTTCTTTCTTTCTCGTTAGATTTTGTCCAAGAATTTTTATGTAAAAAACATGTACGTTCAAGGGCGGCCATGGCTTAGCCTGCGAACAAAAAACAAAACTCCCCTATTCAAACTTTTTCCTTTTTTTATTCCCCATACTCTCAACCAAAAAATATTTCATTGTTAGTCCAAACGGTGGTGTTTTTTTGTTAAAATATTTTTTTCGCCACTTCTCTCGAATATTTTTCTCGTTTGTTTTCCTTTTTCTTTTTTGCTTACAAAAAGTAGGCATCAAGGGGTATCTGAAATGACGATCAGGATTGATATATCTTTGGGCATAAACAAATTTTACGTGATGACTATCCAATCACCTTCATAAACAACAATATTCTTTTAAAGATTTCCTGACGTCATAGAGTCCACTGATCTTAGCGAAATTTTCCGGTTCTCGTAACTATGTATTTTGGGCTCTGTGCTTTTGCCGGCAGCTGTAATCTGAATTGACAGACATATAAACATGGAAGTTTGAGATATCCAAAGAGCCTCTGACGGAACTTAGTGTTTTAGGCGCTCCTGTTGTGGGAGGTCGCTGTAACTTGGAATCAACCAGGCATTTTAGCTAGGAATTTGTTAGAGTTGGTTGTCTTTTTTAATCTTTCTTTTTTCAGAAGCTAATCTTGGGTTCGTATTTTCTGGAGGGTGTAAATTTTTTGTTTATTTTTGTTTGAAGATTAGTGGTTAGTTAAAAGAATGGCGTTGTGATATTGACAATCTCATTTGCTTTTCTCGTTGACGAGTTGTTCATTAAGAGTGGTCTTAGTGGACTTCTTGGAGAGGAAAGTCAGTGATTAGTCGACTCAAATGGGCTTAAAATAGAGTCATAGGGGTAGCTGCAATTTAGTTTAGATTTCTTATTTGTATCTTTTACTTTGTTTTACATAGTTAGTACATTTAAAAACATAAATCTTTTTAATAAATTCGTGGCAGTACCACATCGTTAAAATTCAAAAAATAAAAAAAAAAATGATGAAACCAATGATGAAACTCTTTCTCTTTGAAAAACTCTTGCTTGCTCTCTGCAATATCCAAAAATTTAGAAAAAACAAAATTTTACTTTTCAAAGAAAACTTATTTTTTTATTAAAACTTTAATCATACAATATGTCCCTTGATATTTTTAAAAACCTTTTTACTAAAGAAGTCTTAGACTTTTAAAAACTAAAAAACTACATTACGTTTAAACTTGAAAAAAGAGATTTTGCCATTGTGGAATTTCTTATGAAACACCAGAAGTTTTTTGGCTTATTAGGAAACTAAACGAAGAATATCTTAAAGCTTTCCCAGCAGAACGTATTGCTCAAGAAATATTTTTTAATAATAATTTTATAGACAACCTTGCAAGGTCTTATGCTTATAATATTTATGAAACTGGAATGAGCGATCATAGAACACATAACACAGAACATATTATTTCAAATATAATTGAAACTGCTCTTCCTATCAAAGAAAATGATGATATTATTTCAACTATCGACGAAGAGGAAATAAACTCACAAATGGACATGCTCAATGATGATGATATGCTTACAGATTCAAATAGTATACAACATAACAATCTATCTTCGTCGCTAATTTCTTCTACTACACAACAACCTTCTTCCAAAAATCATAACAAATCGTTAATTAACAACCACAATAAATATAATAATAAACAAACTTACGCGTCTATTTTACAACAAAACAAAAATAATAATATTTTAGACACGTCTATAATTCACATCCACAATTATAATAGTATCAACGCGTCTTCACACAATCCAATCAACAACAACAACAAACAAAACTTAAAGTTACATAAAAAGGATCTTTATCATACTTTGAAAAATTCTTCTCACATTATAGATGCCTGTCGAAACCTCCTCAAAATAATTTCGTTATATCCTTTTCTATGTTTTTAATATAGTTTCGACAGTTTCGGCTTTCGTCGTATTGAAAGGGTTTCGTCATATCCCTTATTATTATTTTAATATAGTTTCGTCTAAGTTTCGACTGTTATTAAGGGGTTTCGTCCCTCATCATTATCTCACATGACTCAACCTAATAGAAAAGGAAATGTCTTCGTATCAATCTTAGCTTTGCTATGCCAAGCGATACTAAAATAGACAAATTGAATCTTCTATCCTCTATTTTTTCTCATAAACCTGGTTTTGTAAACATAGACTGGAAATTTCACAATGGTAATGCAAACATATTTATTAAATTCAACAATAGAAACTTTTATTAGACGCTATAGATGATGCTTTGGAAAGTCACTCAGAGCTTCCATTCAATTTAATCAATGAGGCTCCTTCCCTGAACCTCTATCACAACAATTTTACTTACAAATTAAAAACAGTCCCTAGCAATATTACACAACATCATATTAATAGAGCTCTTTCTTATTTTAGTTCAATTACTTTCATTGTGAATTAATATAAAAATCAATACTCCTTGTCACTTAACGTTATCATTACATTCGATAAAGTTAGAAAATCACATCAGTTGAATATGACTTGAACACATAACATAAACGGACAAATTATTAGATGTATGCATATTGATACTTTACTAGAAGAACTTAAAGATAGGAACCGTTATGTAGCTGGTTTTAAAGATTTCATGAATAAAACAATACCAGCTGATGTTTTCTATACCTTAAGAGCTTTTAATGCTAGATCATATTATTTTTATAATAATATAGCCTATACTGCCTTTGCATCTGAAGAAGACATGAACACTGCATGTTCGCAAAAAATTTTACATAATAGATACAAACTAGATGGAAGACCTAGAGTCCTCAACCATCCTTACACACAAGCTGAATTAGCACATTTATCTGATACTATTCTTCCTAGATTCTCTGTCAACAATTATCAAAGAAACAGGCACTTCTCATTCAATAATGACTTAAATAAAGGGAAAGTCAAAGATGTTGAATATACACTTCCTACTACACAAAATACTGAAACTCCTTCCAATAGCACCTCTAATCCCTTGGATTTAATTTTAGCCAAACTTCAAGAATTAGACTCAATCAAATCTCATTTGGCAAAATTAGATTCTCAGATCTTCACCTTTACCAATCATGATGGGTCTATAACTCATCAGTTATAATATACTTTATAACAGGCGAATTACAGCTAAAAAGTATTCCTACTGATAACTGGAATACTTTTAATACTAATACAGATGTTACCTCTTTCTTAAACAATCAAGTTTCCTATTTCTACAATAATAGACAAAACAATATCAATAAAATAGATAAAGACATTACACAATTAGATGAAAACATATATAACAATATAATCAAAGGAGATACTATAACTTTTGTTACATACAATATATGAGGCATCAACAATGCAACAGATTCTATTAAATCTTCACAAATAATGGAACATTTTATGCATAATAATATAGACTTTGTCAGTCTCACAGAAACTCATCACAACTCATTGATGCTTCACAAACACAAACAGGACCCACAATATACAACTTTTTGGAGCTAGCCTGATCCACTACAACCTTTTGCAGGTGTTGCTCTGCTAGTTTCAAAAAAATAGGACAAATACATTGCTTCTTTATTTACATCAGACCCACGCTTAATTTATGTAGATCTATATTTAAAAGGACACATTAAACTTAGAATAATTAGCTGTTACATTCATGCTAATGTGATTGATGCTAAATGTAAACACAATCATAGACTCCTACAAAGACA